CTCCAAGTCTGGTAACTTTGTAAGTAATGGGAATAGTAAATATGGAACAAGAAGCTCTGAGTTGCTTTCCTGAATCCATTGAATTTATATTATTCATCTGTTATTGTGATTTGGGAGAAGCTTAAAGGTGATGGTCATATATGATTATAACTGATCACTCTTTATATACCACATCATGAAAAATCAGTAAAAAAAACACTAAGAAGTTAATTGAGGTCAAGGAAATGTCTTTCTGTTCATAACTGTACACTAATATATGAAAAGTATATATATGTATACCACACTATTTAATATAGATAATAACTGTAGAGTGTGGAAAACTGTCACTTGAATGAATAAAGGATGGATGTCAATTTCAGTACTTCCTATAATTAGAGAGGTGTTGTAAGGATCATATAAAAACTGAACAAATTTAAGGTATTCCTATTATTATATTTCAAGTAGCATAGGTTGATTCTACTACCTTTGCTTTTAATTATACACATAAATGCACCTACTGCCCTCTGACTCATTCTCTATGCTTTTATTTGTTTAGATAGCAGCTGAATACCTTTAGACTAGAAATGTAGTTTTCTCCCACTTTGAAATCTAAATAATTTGAAGAATCAAGTGTTAAAGCCTAGGCATCTGGAGTACCGGCTTGACTATAACAAATGTCATGATCAGGTTTACAGAGTGTTTCATTGTTTGTAAGAAACAAGGCTTTTCAAAGGTACTGTGGTTTTTAAACTTCCATTGGTTGTTAAATGCTGTCACAAAACAGCCTTCAGGTTGATGGATGGGATGTTTTATTGCAGGGATATGTGGTATCACATGACTGTGTAACACTGGAACTTCAGGGAGAACTGTGAGAAGAGTATCTGGCCAACACGCTCTAGCTATCCTGAAGCTGCTTAACACTTGCTGTGCTTAGACCCTAATTCTATCAAAGAACACTTCTCTGCCCTCCCACTAGGCTTGGGACTCCCACTGATGCATCATTAAAAGTTGGGTCAGATCCTAGGAGGCCATAAACCCATTTCCTTGGAATTTACATTTAGGTCCACCTCAACTTTTAAAATGTAAATGAAACAGTTATTCTTGCTTAACTGCCTTTATGAAACATATTTAATTTTGAAAATATCAAGGAGCTTTTTAGTAAATGGAGTTTCTTTTATTGTAGTTCACATCCATTTTGTTTATTGATCCAAAAGAGGGGGTGCAAGAAGCAAACTTGTGATATCCTGGAGTTTTTATATAGTATAGTTTCATTATAACAAATATCTTTGTAAATTGCACAGCTCCAAACACAGTAAGGGCCATATCATGTCTTCAAGTGTGGCATACAAGAGAGAGGTGCCAAAATAGCAGGTAATAAGACTTTCCTAGCTCACGGAAGACTGTGAGATCACTTCTTAGGATAAATAATGTGTGTTCTCGAGGAGTTGTGAGGTGTCATCTGTGGGCCTCACACTCCTTGTCGGACACTCTGAAATCATACCTCATCTTGACTAATGTTCAGTAGATCCCAGGAGGCTGCTCTCCCGGAAGATCCCTTCCTATTCAACTGGATATGTTTTCTTCTTCAAAATTTACTATCATTTTTAAAAGATTTATTTATTTTTATTGCAAAGTTAGATATACAGAGAAAAGGACAGAGAGGAAGATTCCGTTCCCTGATTCACTCCCCAAGTGAACTCAATGCCTGGTGCTGAGCTAATCTGAAGCCAGGAAGCAGGAACTACCTCCAGGTCTCCCATGTGGGTGCAGGGTCCCAAGGCTTTGGGCTGTCCTCTATTGCCTTCCCAGGCCACAAGCAGAGAGCTGGATGAGAAGCAGGGTTGCCAGGATTAGAATCAGTGCCCATATGGGATCCCAGCGTATGCAAGGCAAGGACTTTCGCCTCTAGGCCACCACTCTGGGCCCAAACTTCACTATCATTAAATAAGAGTCTGGTGCTAAGCAATTATGCTAAAACTTGAATTAGCAAATCCCCTGGATATTGTGAGTTCCAGCAAGTTTGAAATCCAGCAGCCGAGGCATTGAATGATGTTTTCACTTTTCATTCAACAACCTAAGAGTCACATAGATACTACTTAAGCCCACTCGACAAGAGTGCGTCATCCAGAAGAAAAGGACCAGTATTAGGCAATTGCAGTCTATTGAGGTTTGCCTACCAACCATGAATTTGCACTGACTGTGATTTTAAATTTTGGCTGACTCCTTAGATTCAACGTTATCTGAAATAAAACATTTAGATCAACTCTTTCAGTCACCATTCCTTTTCCCATTCTTTTCCTTGCTACAATTTACCTAGATCAATTATGAACAACTATTTTTGTGTTCTTTTTTTTTTTCTACAATGGATTTTCAACAAAATGAGAGCCAGCTGACAAACCAATAGAAACTTTTCAAGGATGTAGAAACAGCTGTTCGTAATATGCACTTAGACTAGATTTCCCATCACAGAAGTTTCTAATTCTCTAACATGATAATTCTATAAAACCACTGTGGGAATTCTTACTTAGAATCTACATTCAGTTGGAGGTAACAAAAGAGCACATATACATTTAGTAAATATAGCCAAGTTTATTTTTAAATAGTGTCATCTTAAAAAAAATAGTGACTTGGGTGTTTATTGTGTGGGTGTAACAGAAATATTTCATGAGAATGACTATTTCCACCAAATGTGGAGAAACAAATAATGAATTGTTAAATACTTCACTGAATTTGAGTAAGTCAGCATGGAAAATGATGTAAACTCAAAATGCAGGTGGTTTTCATGACTTAGATATGGACACTCATATGGTGAGTGACAGCACTAGTTTTAGACCCCTGAGGCCATGAATGGAGGGTAAATAGGAAAGTGGCAGAGGGAATGGTAAATGCCAGATTTAAAACTACCACGGTATCTACGAAAGAAGACATACTAAGTTGAGATTTATATCATCTCTCTCACAGTCATCCCTCAGCTTTTTTCTGGCATTTAGTTTTCACACTGCTATATTTGATTTTGAAGTATTCCAATTGTTCACTGGCAAACACGGTTGTTCTAGAAGCCTCTATGGTTTCATTGAGTACCAGTATTCTAATGTTGGAACAAAATCCATGAATTGTTAATTTTTCTTTTCAACACTGGTTAAAGGCATGCAGTGCCTTTAAGCCAGCCCCTTTGTTTGGATTCACTAATTCCATATTTTTCTTTCCCTCAGATTACTCTCTAATCTTTGACCCTTTATATCTTTCTTCATTTTCTTTTTTCCTCGACTTTCCTTCTCTCTTCAATGGTCTTGAAGTATTTTATCAACTATTCTTTCATTCACCCCTCTCTACCTACATTTCTGTCATTTTTTTTCTGGCTCATTTCTTTTACTTCTACCCCCAGAACCAATCCTATTCCCAAACTGTAAGTGGAACACTGAGCATTCCCAGTAGCAATGTCAAAAGTTTCTAGCACTTACCAACTATTCTCATAGCTCAAGTCACATAATAACTGGAAATAATGGAATAATGCTAACTTCCATTATGATTTTATCATCTTATGCATTTGATAAGATCTTTGGAAGCAAACTGTTTCACAGAAGCAACAAGAGCTTTTAACAAATGAGATCCAGTAGAAAGTCATGATGGATCCTGTTTTCCAACTACTGGATAACTTCCAGCAAGCAATGGTCATGATGCATACGTTACCATGATCTTTAATTTCATACATTGAAGGGATACTTGATGTTAAGATTTGATAGGTACATGTTAAAGATTTGTCACATATTTAAAAAGACCTTTTCCTTTTGGAGGGGAGAAATACTATATAATAACCCGGCATTCATTATCTCTTCATCGTTATGACATGATTAAGTGATTCTGGTCCTAAGGAACAAAAAGCTTCTATTACCACATTTGGGTTAGCTCACTCCCTTTAGGCTGTAGAGCTCTGGCAAACCAGCACTTTATGGGGCCTAACCAAGGATACTTCCTACATAGTGTTTTTGTCTGACTAGATTTTCTGAAATTTCCTCTCACAATAACAGTGAATTTCCACAGAGACAAGCATTTTTAAGGCATCTCCTCAAATTTACAATGATTTAAAGATCAGAAGAAATAAAAGTGCACATGTTTTCCATGAAGAGCAGATCCCTAACACAGAGTCAAACATACGGGAAAAGGACATCTTGCTTTAAGCTTCATTTATTAGACGCTACAGCTCAATTAGCCAGTGACATAAGAGATGTGGAGGGGAGAATGTGCTATTAAACAGCCAAGTTCAGGGTTCCTATGATTTGAAAAAAAAGACTTTCTCTTCCCACTGAATGAACACACTCAGAAATACTGCTGATTCACTGAAACTATGAAATACTGACTCTTCTTCATGTACTTCCAGCAGCAGCTCATGTCCAATTACAGATAAGATTATTATGTTAATCACTTCATAACTTTATAAAGGTTGCCTTGAAATCTATGAGTTCATCTGTTACTCTGAGGGAAGTTTCATGTAGCTATTAAAAAGTCAAAATCTTTCATTATTTAACACATTTTTAGATTCATTAGTAATGCTACCCTGAAAAAATCAATCACTTTCACCTTAACTCACCATTACTAGGATAAGATGCATAAAATAAGTATTATAAGTAAATTTAAGAATTCCTTCAATTAAATAATATATGGTAAAAACATAAACAAATAAAATGGAACAATTAACAGCATCTTAGATCTGTTTCTTGATTTTTGTCTAAACACGTTGTTACCAGCTTCTACTTACTTTCATGCATATATACTTATATATATATATATACATTTACATACACACATATATATATTTGAATGTATATAACAACATGAAATGGCAACATATCAAAGGCTTAGTTTTCATGCAAACACACAGTTCCTTTCCTGTGAAGGAAGCATATTAATATCACAAAATAAATCATGGAGAACAACATGCAACAACTAAGGGGAGAAAAGTAAGGGGAGGGAGGGAGCAGAGGTAAGCACAAGGAACATAAAGAACAAAAAGTGTCATTGACCTGATTTGTCAGAGTTGTTGCCTGTGATTGGAGTGATGGCGCAGCTGGGGCTAGCCTTTGCGCTGTCCTTGGAAGAAACCATTTTGGGTTTATTTTTCGTTGCCTCTAGTGCTTTGACCTTCTTGGCATGTTTACTTCCTTTGTAGTGGGCCTCGGCCTGGCTCTACAAAGGAGAACAAATCAGGCTCATTTTTTTTTTTTTTTTTTTTTTTTTTTGCTTCTTAGAAGCACCACAATGGATGATCATGCAAGAAAAAGATACATTCAGTCATAGGCACCACAGACATTGTACAACTCATCACCTGACTATGTTTCTAGGATTCAGTGAAGCAGCACACCGATATCTATGAGGATTCAGCATACTCTAACCTTTCTATGTAACACAGAGGACTGGAATCTTTAAAACAAAAACTAAATATTACATGAGCGAGCGACAAGATTGGAAACAATTGTAATGGCAGTGAGCTTTGTCTGCAGGGTCCTTCCACTGCTGCCCATTGTGGTGACTTTTCAAACTGACAGTTACCACTGCTGTGAGTGTCCAATTAATGTTTGCAGACATGGCCGTCCACAAGCATACCCTTTTCAATTAAATACCTATCTGCCTGTGTCTATTTTCTATTAGATTATGCTCTGAAACCAACCAGTATGACAAAAACAACACATTAAACAGGTGCTATTGGCTGGAAACAGCAGCATATTTTCAAGAGGTCTACATGTACTTCATGTACAAGTCTGATGATACCAATTATAACAGCAGATAATAGGAGCCACAAAGGAGGTGAAGACAACCTTTCTTTCTGATCTCAAATGTAAAGAGTTAAGTGTTAATTTTCCTTAAACTTAAGAATGTTAATCTCATTACTGGACCAGAAGGAGGGAAAAAGCATGACATAGAAACAAAAACAACTCAAAACAAAGCTAGAATACTAGAATTCATTTACTGACATTTGAAAAGTTCAGTCATTCATGTCTAAACAAGGTTTTCTAAAATTTTGACATATAACTCTAATGGACACGTTAATAATAGAATCTAAGTATAGCTAATTCAATTTCTTATTGCATATTTTCTGAAAAAAATATAAACGTGATTGGCAGACAAAACATACATAATTTATTAACTTGAATGAAATGGATGATAAATCTTATATTAAACAAGATGAATTTTGTTAGAGGATTTTTAAGGTCTTCATATACCTGTGTGAAGAAAAAGGATTATACAAATTTTTCCATTCATTTTTTTCAGTAAGTAGATCAAAGGTGATAGGGTGCGTGTGGTAGGGTTAGTGAGGGGGAGTTTAGAAGTGATAATTGGGTAGAACAGAATCTGTATTTAGGAGTCAATGGGTTCATAAATACATGATGTAATAAGTATAACACAGGGCAATCCATATGTAAAAATCAGCAAATATAGGGAATGATGCATACTATAGAAGATACCGAAAAGAAGAGCATTAATAATGAAGAGTTTCTAAAATCAGTAACTTTTGATTTTACTTTTAATAAAACAGATACATGTGAATTGGTAGACAAAAGTATACTTCTGCAAGAATGATATAGCTCTGAGGATATAGGCCTGAGGAAAGAACTGAGGTTAAATATTCCAAAGCAGGGAGAGGTCTGCCTGTAAAGGGATTTTCATAGGCCTCTTACTAGAAGATCTTCAACACGAGGCCAAAGATATCAGATGTACTGCTATGTGGAATGCCACCAGTGTGATGAAGTTATTTTTAAAGGTTTATTTGTATTTTAATTTGAAAGGCAGAGTTACATAAAGAAGGACAGACACTGAGAGAGGTATTTCATCGGAAGGTTCACTCCCCAGATGGCCACAATGGCCAGAGCTGAGCTGAGCTGATCAGAAGCACCTTTTGCCTCCACCACGTGAGTCATCCTCTTCTGCTTTCCCAGGCCATCAGCAGAGAGCTGGATTAGAGGTGGAGCAGCTGGGACACATACTGGTGCCCATATGGGATGTCAGTGCGGCAGGTGGAAACAGCCTACTACGTCATGGTGCTAGCACCGATGAAATTTGTAATCAAAGGCATACTGATACAAAAATTTCAAATAGAGAGGATTTCTACGATAGCTATACATTACATCTTGATTAAATGTGACAGAAAATAGTTAACACAGATGGTAAGATAGCAATGAAAGTAAGGGGCTGCTTTCTAAGTGCAGAGTATGAACATAACAAAAAGTGTAAAATTACAATGATACCACTGATTCTTGAAACTTGGCTTTTATCAGTTGTGCTTTAGTCCTTTTTAAAAATGAAATTGTTTTATTGCTACCTTCCAGAGATGAAGCACTCTAACAATGTGCCACAGTTGGACTAAGCCATCTAAGTCTCACTGTGTGTGTCACTAGAGCTGTGTCCGCTTGATTTTCTGGCCTGTTTCACTGTATCTCACCAGGTACACATTGCTTGGCAACCCTGGCAGTGCAACTGCTGATGAGCACAACTTACAGCAGTTTCACTTCCAGGTCTCTGTCGTGTATAACCCCACTTTATGCTGAACACATAAATGTTACTGGTAAAGTAATTCATGCAAAGATATTATGACTGACATAGCTATAAGTGTTAAGTAGTACCCTGTGAGTTCAACACTGTACTCAAGTATTCACTATTCCATCTGAGTGGGAGTCTGCTTTACAGTGGTACTCATGCTGCAGGGTCATTGCTTTTGACGTGAGGCAGTTAGAAGACTGACACATTGTGTTAGGTAACAGTATAATTTAGGAATACAGTCAGTTTTTGCATTTTATAAGTATATGGCCCTGGTCACTCAAGTCTGTGCCTTCTAGCTTATTGTCCCTAGCTTATTGATCTGATTTTCATAAATATCACGCAGATATTTATTAATTTATCATTGATCAGTTTTATTTTGCCTGCTTATGGCTGTCTCATATTGTTTTCTGATAATTAAAAATCAGAAAAAAAAATTCCAAGGGAAGGAAAACTCCTTTGTCACCAAGGATGGTTAAATCTAGCCAATATAGTTGAGTAGTTAGGAAGTAAGAAAATGCACAATAAAAATTTTAGAATTTAAAGTACAATGTAGTAATAAAATTGAGTAATACCATTGAGCACTATTCCAGGAACATTACTGTGCATATTACATAAAATAGCTCATTCAATTTGCATAATATTCTTTGCTATATAATTATTATCTAGCACTTTACAAATAAGTCACTTCCATAAGAAGTCAAATAACTTACCAAACTTCACATATGTAGGTGAAGAAACTGTTTAGCAGATATGTAAATGCTACATTTGTGTGCCCATTGAATTATATGTTACACATTATTCATATACAAAGTTAACAGAATAATTTAAAAGAAAAAATATGCATACAAAAAGCACCTTCCTTTTAATAACTCAGTAATAGAATATTACCTGATGTTGCAGAAATCTCTGTGATTAAAAACTGTCTATTTAATTTATGGAAAAACAATAGTATAAAACATTAGGTCTGATCTTCCAGTTGAGTAGCCAGGGAAATCCATTTTGCAAAGTATATCACAATTTCTTTAACAGACCACAGGAACTCCTAAAACCTCATCTTCCTAAATATATTAAATACTGCAATGCTTCTTTAGTGTCCTTTGGTTAAAGATATACACTGATCTCTAAATAAAACTTCCCAGTACAAAATAAGCAGTGTCACTCTCTCATTACTACTCCCTGGCATCCCTACAAAAAGTTAAGAGCATCAATTAGCACTTGAGATAAAGATCTAGCTAAGTGACACCTCACTGGTTGCCAAGGTGGAAAGAATTCTCCATAGCCATGACCCACTTTCCCTTTGAGCTCCAGGCTTGGAGAAAAGTGTGACCAGGGTTCTTAGCTTTACTGACTTTTGTATGGGGAAAAATGGAGTGCAAGAATGTAGAATAATAACCAAATGGCAGGCCTGTTCACTCAGATTTGGCATCATTCCAATTCCCTTGTGGTATTCTTGGTAGTTGCACTTTGCTATCCTTAGCACTCTGTCTGAGGCAATGTCATCAGCTTGCACATCCTGGGCACACCTTCAAGAGTAACTGAGACATTGTCAAAGTAGTAGCGAGATCAACCTGGTTTCCTTATCTAAGAATTGAGGTGTGAAAGGGAGGATGAGAGTCAGAGGGTGTTGGAACAATGGCTCTTTTAACTCTTCTAAAAGGCTTGGGTGAAATAGCTGACAAACTCTACAAACCAAAAACTAAAGGGCAGACACAAGTTTAGCTTCAGGTCTGGATGAAGTAGTTTGGGTCCTCAACTGGCAATGGTGAAAGAATCCCTGACAAGAACAGCCAGAATTTGTGCTTGCTTCTGCAGCACATATATTAACATTGGAAGAATGGCCAGAATTAGTGAATTATGCCCAAACTTCCAAAATGGCATCAATACAAGAATCCATTGGTGCTTTTCTCAGGGGGTTTCCAGTAGTTACTTGATCTCCAATTGAGAGACGAGTAACTTTGACAGGAAGTGACTTGCTGGGCTTTATTTTTTCTTTAGCTACCTTATTTCCAGTTTGGATTTCAGGAAGTTGGCTAACATCTCAAGTCATGCCAGGAAACTGTATTCACTTTGTATGAAAAAACAGTTCAAAATCAAGCAGAAATTGCCTGTGTCACTACAGAAAGTACCCAACTGCATATGAGCATTTACCAATATAATCAATCTTTTTGTACTCATAAAAATAATTAACTTTTAATTAGAAAGGATATCACTAAAACTACTGGCATCTAATTTTTTTCTTACTGAGAATTTACATGTCAATGTATTAGACAAGCATCATAAAGGAAATAGCAGAGGTCACTTATTTTTTTTAAAAAGGACATTAAAATACAAAAAAAAAAAACCACCACAAACCCCAAAACAAAAAAACCAACCCTCCCAAATCTCACATGATAAATGAACTACTATAATAATGATAACTAACAGTGAAGAACCCTGATGATGAGTTATTCTGCAAAGCATTATTAAACACCTGGTATGTGTTAGATATTGTGAAAGTTTAGCAACCAAGTGCTGCTACATATAAAAATGAAAACTGGAAGAAAAGCCAGGCATGCACACTACTATAACACAGAGCAGTGAGTGATTAAGAACTTCAAGCAGCAGAGAAGAAATAAATGCCTTCAGACTATGAGACAAAAGAAGCCTTGTGG